ACTTCTAGTCTAAACTAGACTGTAGCTGAAGGACTATTAAAGTGTAGACAATTTTCAAAGTGTTAGCCATGTTAGTCTGTTTATTAAACATAACCAAGTATGTGGCACCTGAAAGACTAACACATTTATTATGTCGTAAAAATGCTATCATAAATGTATTGGTCTTAAACTTACCACAGGACACTAGGTCCTCTTCTGCACTGAATTAATGCAGTTTTACATCACTTTAACTGCCACAGCTCAAGGCTATTGAACTCTGGAATTTGTAGTTTTGTGAGATATTTAGCCTTCTTTGTCAGAGAACTCTGGTGACACAACAAACTACAGATCCCAGGATTCTATCGGATGGAACCTTGATAGTTAAAGTGGTGTCAAACCACATTATTTCTGCAGTGTTTAGTTGTTTTAAGTAATTGGTTAAGTCGGTATTTATCACTCAGACATTAGCCTAAATCCTGCTGTTAGTTCTGACTAGAGTAGGGCCATTGAATCTGTGGGATTTTCCTACATGTTGACTTGCCATTCAATAGTTGATTGAATGGATCTACTTCTGTTGGGACCAACAGGATGTCAGTCATTATAAGTTTAAAAATAGGGGCAAAATAAAAGGTAACATTTAATTTAATCATCAAATACTCATAATAATATTGCATCTGTATATGAGAGGTAAAGTGTGCATCTGTGAGTCTGTATGTGGATGGGGTCCACTTGCCAAGTTTTACACCACAATGTTGTTCAAAGATTCCCAGAAAAGTGAAATTTCTCAGTTAAATTTACTACCGTAACTATAACATGATGCAACTAATTCAAACAACCATCCCATAACCATTAACAATGAATGGAACAATATGTCTTGCCTGTTGTGAGTTCAAGAGGTGGTTGCTGCCCAGGTCCTTGGATAAAGAATGAAGAAAAAGCCTTTTGGGAAAACATCAGCCAACAAGATTAAATAGGAAATAAAAAGGAAATCCCATTGCAAGCACTGATGGATGGCTGATGCTAGCCTGCAAAAAGCCTACATTTCAATAAGCAGCCCTGCTCTAGAGGCAATCTCATTATGGCTTCTGAGTCAGTAAATCCCCCATCAGTAAAGCAATGACGAAAATTCATGTGTCTGCTTTGGATTGAAGCCAAGGAAGAGAAGGCCATTAAAAGCTCTCCAGATGTATCCTTAGTGGGATTGTCCCCCTATGATTTTTTTTAAAAGAACAGCCTACAAAATCATTGAGTCTTTTTATCAACCTCTCTCTTCCTTCTTAAACCCATGCAGAAAGAATGATTTAAAGTAGGGTGAACAACTGCACCTCCCTGAGCCCTACTTGCTTGTTACACCTTGGTGACTTATGTTTGCAAGTGCATTGAATTAGGTCCCCAACATTTGTGTGCTTGAGCATCTAGAGCTGTAAGCCCCATCAGCTTCACTTGAGTAATGGAGATCGGTGCCAGCAAAAACAAAACAAAACAAAAACTTTTGAGACTCGAGATTTTGGTTTCAAAAATTGTTGATTCATTCTATTTTTATTTCTCAACCATAAAGTCTTATGAAGTTAAAAGCAATTATAACAGATATACTCATGCATATAACTGAATGCAGACAGACAACTGGATACATTCACTCCTCTTCTAGAGTTAATCTGTGTAATCTAGACCAAAGCACAAGGTTGTGAGTTCAGTCCCAGCCAGGAGCTCAGGGTCAACTCAGCCTGGCATCCTTCTGAGGTTGCTAAAATGAGTACCCAGCTTGTTTAGGGCAATTAACTTATACATTGTAAACCGCTTAGGTAGTGCTTAAGTGCACCGATAAGTGATATAGAAATGCACTTGCTATTGTTATTGCTATTTCAAAGCATGCACAAACATTTTCTTTGAACTACAATTCCCATAATCCTCCAGCTAACATGGCTGGGAGTTCTGGGAGTTGCTAGCTAAGCTCTGACTTAGGCTACTATATATAATTAGGCAAAGAGCAGATGCAAAAGAAAAAGGGATCTTCAAACTGAACAGGTCCAGATGACTCAAGCAAGCAAACAAAGGATGCAACCTCTCTGTAACCTCATACACACACACATTATCACTAGCCAATTTGATCTGAGTATGAGAATCCTTTTCTGATCAATCTCCCAAAATAAAGACCAGAGATGAGCAACTGAAGAGTAGTGGCAACCGATTTTAACCTCCGCATGGTCGCAGCTGGCCATATCAGTGTACTGCTCCAGTGTCACTGGATGTGATATACCCCTTCCTGTTTCAATATCAGCCAATTTTTTGCCTTTGAGAGTATGTGGGGACCTCTGGGGTGGTGGTAGAATTGAGCCATTTTGGATTGAGCAATAAAAAATTGTCTGCTTTTTTAGAGTGGAGGATTTTGGTAGCTAGAGGGCTTCAAGGGCTACACTTGAGGGTTCTGAGGAACTCATGCATCTCATGGGCTTCACTTTGTCCAGCCTGATATAGAGAAACAGAAAGATAAACAGGTGGTAAGGCAACTGCACTTCCAACTTTGATTGGAGTGGTACTGTATTGCTAGGCAGAGGATTGTTTAAAAATTTCCCTACAATGCATATCATTTCTTTCGTTTAAATTTCCCCACCCCCAGGTCTGTCAGATGGCAAACTAGAAAAAAGACAGATAGCTGTATATTCTTGTGTTTGTTTGTTATTTATTTATGTAGGCGATTTAAAGTTGCTTTGACAGGGCATAGCCCTAAAAAAGTAACTTGAAGTAGTCTACATAAATAAATACAGTACATTACAGTAACACGTCAATCAAAGCACACATCAATACAGTACCACTCTGTATGTTTGTCTGTTTATTATTTATTTATATAAACTATTTAAAGTTGCTATGCTTTGTCAAAGCAATATAGAGAAGTGAGAAATGACGTACAAATTAAAAGGGTTCACATCCGGACAAATCCCCAGAAATTACTTAGGAAATTCTGTTTTGCCAACATAAGGAATCCACCAAAGGCAAGCTTGAAAAAAAAAGACCTCTGTGTGGGCTAGATGCCAAGTTGAAGAGGCAAGACATAGGTCAACAGATAGGAAGTTCCAAAGATTTATGACCCTGGCTGAAAAGACCTAGTGTGTAATGCATGCCAGCCTTGCTTTTCTTAATGTCAGGCACTCAAAGAGAAGCCCTGGTGTAGATCTTAGTATATACACATATGTGGATGCAGATTGTAGGCTACATGATTGTCATTCCTGCTTTACAATTTTACTGCTAAGCCTGTTCATTTAAAAATGAATCAAAACTGTAAAGCACCAATATAAGCTCCCAGTGAAGATGACTGCCTGCAGAGGATTTCAAGACCACGTTTCCTTGGGACTATGTGGATGGGAAAGGAATAAACCTTTCCTTCTCACTACCTGCAGCCTAGATCTGATCAGGCTGTTCCTCTTAACAAAGAACCCCTCACCTGTTCATTGTAGTCAAGCAATTAATGGCATGTTTGGCTCTAAGCCATCTCTCTGTAGTGGTGATGACATGTGTTTCAATTTGTGGGATTCCTTTTGCCTTGTCGTGCCATCAGAGCTAAGGCATTGATACAGATGCTTTCAGCTTTACGGCAGTGGCAGGGCAGGGATGGGGAGCAGCCACAAATGTTCAAGACTGAACAGAAGTGACTCTGCTGCCTCCCTCAGCATCTTGACTTTTTCCTTCCTTGTTTGCCGCAGATGAGCGAGAGCGAGACTTTGATCAGTATGGTGAACAGAATGGTGGAGAGCTCCTCTCCTAGAGCTCAGCTGTACATGCAAGTAAGACATCACAGCAGCTCTGCCATCAGCCATGCCATTCCAGCTGCTTTTGCATGGCAGAACCATTCCCAATGTCACTTCACCTCACATCTGCCTCCATCTGTGAGATGCCCATGCAACATTTCATCCCATAGTCACTTTCATACATGAAGGAGCCCAAGGGGGTACCCATATGCACCAGTATGCTGGTGCCTCACATGCAGGAGGATTACTTGTAATGTTTTCAGGTCCATGACTTTTCCTATGTCTTGGTAGAAGATATGCTGATATTACTGGCTTGAGTTACCAAGTATTGAGTTACCAAGTTACTGTTGATTAGAAGGATCCACTCCAGGAGGACTAACAATAGGACTTAGACCAATCTCAACTGTGTTGACAGCTCTGTGCCACCTTGTGCCAAACTTTTTCCTTCCCTTATACCATCCATAAGTATGTTAAAAGCTTGATTTAGGACCTAAAGCTCTTGTTTCCATAGTTTAGGACCTAAAGCTCTTACTTACAAAACACTTGCTATTTTGTGCTAGAGGATAAATCCTATCATTTGATTTTTTTAAAAGAGAAAATTGCTTTGGTGTATTATTATTATTTTGCCCTAGACTTCAGGAAAATGGTTAGATGTTAACATTGGCTTCTATGATTAATCAGCTACAAAACTTTGCCCCATCCTGGACTTTTAGTTAGGACTCTGAACACAACCCTCTTTTCCTTGCCAGTGTCTTGGAATATTTGGAGTGGAACACTTTTTTTGTACTGGCATCTCCTGTTTAAGGTGGAAAATCTAGAATAGCTAGGTGTCCTTTTATTTTTATAGAGGACTGTCTTCTTTCAGAAAGGCTATTTGGAAGTGTTCTCTGTTTGAAGGACTATCCAGTACAAATCCATTGTAAGGCAAAGAATACTGAGAAAGAGCCTTCAAGTTGCCCATCGGTCATTGTTGTTGTCGTCGTTGTCATTGTTCCTCCTCCTCCTCCTTTTTGTGTGCATTTCAAGGTCACCCAGTGGTTTTCCATGGCCAAGCAGGGATTCAAACCCTTGTCACCAGAGTCCTCAAACCACTACACCACATTGGCTGTCCTGTCCATAGTTGTTATTTTTGTTGTGTCTTTCAGTCATTTTCAACCAATGGCAACCCTAAAGTGACCCTATCATGGGATTTTCTTGACAAGTTTATTTAGAGGGGACTTGCCATTGCCATCCTCTGAGACTGAGAGATTGTGACTTGCCCAAGGTCACCCAGTGGATTTACCAAGCCAGGATTTGAACCCTGGTCTCCAGAGTTTTAGTCCAGCAATAAAACCACTATACCACATTGTCTGTCCATAGTTACCTCCTGGCAAGTGGACTAGTGGCATAGGTAAATCTTCTGCTAGCATATTTTCCCCAACAATGCTAATCTGTTTCTTCAGGGATACATGACAGAATGTATTGATGCTACTGGTAAACTCCCTCCCTCTCATTTAGGAAAACAGACTATGGACTTCATCACACAGAACTGATCCCATGCAGAAACTGGATTTAAACTGGATTCACACGACATTCAGGGTTAATCCAAACAGAAAGTAGAAATAACCCACAAAAGTGGGTTGTTTTTCACACAACATTGATGTCAAGGAGAAATAACATGTCATTAATCCAAATAGAACGTCGCCAAAACCAGCTCCTTTTTACTTTCGGGAATTTCCGAAGGAGTAGGTTTTGGTGAAGTTCCATTTGGATTAATGACGTGTTATTTCTCCTTTACACAAATATGTCTGAAAAACAACCCACTTTTGAGGTTTGTTGTTGGGTTCTTTTTGGATTTTAAATCCCATTTCTGCATGGGATTTAAGCAATTTGCCTCCATGTGATAAGGTCCACAGAAGGTGGTTCACTGGTTGCAGTAAATGGAATGATCCATTTCCACACTTAATTGTATTCAGAGCTCACCAGCAGAATTCCTAGAATATCATTCAGAAATTAGATGAGCTTCAGAACCAGAATTTCTTGTATCATGCACTAAGTGTAACAATTTTTGTATGCCTGGTCCAGATTAGTAGAAGATAGAATGCTCCTGAACCTGTGGAGAGTTCCATTTCTTAGTTAATAAGCTATTGTGACCAGCCTAAATAAGGTAAGCTGGATATCCAAGATAACCAGGACAGGAAGGGAGTCCATTTTCTTTACAGATTTGGGATTGCTCATTTGCTGCATTAAACAATTGAGTCAACAAGATAATCATGAAAGCTGCATCACACTGCAATTGCAACCAATCATCCATCATCCATTGCTACTGTTCAAGACTCAGTCATAGTTCTGACACCTTTCTAAACACTAAAGTGTACTTACTGTCTGGCTAATTTGCTATGCTGTATACAGCTAAGGCAGATTGCAGCAGAGCATTGGTAATGATTACAAGTTAGACAGGACTTTTGGGTGAGCTTGTGATAGACTTGGCATGGTTTTATTTGTATGAGAAAATGAAATAGTATATTTGATGGGACATGCTAGGTGTTGATGCAGACATGAGCTTTGTGCTGTGCCAAATTACCTCAGGGTTTAAAAACATTCTACCTGAAAAGTGTAATGGTCCACAATTTGATCCATCTGCAGCAATATATTGGTTGTTTTCAAATGCAAGCTGCCTGTGGATTGTTTTCCCCACTTGAGAGAATAATAGGCCAACCCAGTTTCACACTGGTGGTAAATTCAGCTACCAGCAGCAGCACTTCTTCACTACACACTGATATCCAAGGAGACAGTGATACCTAGTTAATAATTCTTGCCAGGAGTAGCTGGAATTGATGTGAAATGTATGCTTTCTTTTGTCATTTAACAGAGGTTTTCTGGTCTTATCATAACTCTCCTCAAGAAAATGATATCCCTGCAGCATAGTATCAAGTAACACAAAAGGTTACTCACTAAACAGTGCTTTAAGGCAAAAAAGTAATTTAAAGGAACCAGAATACATTAGTTAGAAAGAAAACACTGGTATGATAAAATCAGGCATATAAGAAACGCTCAGATTTACAACAATTATCAGTCTCCTGACTTCCAGGGTGCTCTGTACTCTCAGTGAGGGTGCAAATAATTCCCACTCCCTACATTTGTAACATGCACACCCACATACCTTCGCCCCACTCCCTATACACACAGCCAGCATCTGGCAGAATAGATTCTGAACAGGAATCTTTTTCTGAGGATTTCCACAAAAACAGATCATATCCTCCTTTATGTAAGAAAGCATCAACACTGTCCAAAAGTAACATCTCCAAATGTAGTCCAAAAGTAACATCTCCAAGCTCTGGATTTGTTTTCTGTTGTAATTGGGCAGATTTCCAAAAGGCTGTGTCTGCCAGGGATAAAATCATTAGATAAAATCATTTCTAATTTATATGGTTCCCATAGATAACATAGTACTAAAAGCAGAAGCTTTCGTCTCTGGCTTTTGACTCCTTGTGCAAGAGTTATCAAGATCAGTATTCCTAACTGATAGTTTTTATAAATTTCACAAATCCATAGGAAGCTACTTTATATTGATACAAACCATTAGTCATCTAGCTCATTATTGCCTAAGTTGGTAGGCAATGGCAATCAAAGATTTCATGTAAAGGTCTTCCCTTATCCTGGGACCTTCCAAATGAAAAGCAAGCACTGAGCTATGAACCATTTCTTCAGCAATGGATAATATAACATTGTTATAGTTCATACTTGAATATAGAATGGTATCTATGGCATGGTATATCATGCTCATGGATCAGCATTCTTTGCAGTAGCAGAGTACCCATGTATTAATTCCTGTTGAGTCATTATTAAGGATATATTTACTCTGGTTGTATTTTCATAAAGGGGTGATTTGCTTGAAAACAATAAACTCTCTTTCTGATGTGGTGCCTTTTTTCTGTGCTGCATTGCATCAATGCTAATCAGTGTTCTCCTGTGATATTCATACACCCGTTTTGGGTAAGTATTGCTAGCTATGTCACTGTTCCAGAAGGAAATGATGCCATATTCAATTTTGATTTTTAAAATAAAATAATAAATAATTCATATACCAAAGGCAATATACTAGAACAGCCTCCTTGAGGTTTTCTCTGTGTTACTTCTCCTGTATGTAAAACAGCAGTTGCTTATAAGCTGGGGAGCTGGATAGGAAGAACCTCAAACCATACAACTACATGGCTGCATCTTTCACTGTCTAGCTTTGGAATTCAGATCAGGGAATAAACTGGGAGTCATACCATGGAGTTGTCTGACTACTTAGCCTGTAAAGTTCTTTATCGGTGTCTCATTTTGAAAACAGTAGCTCAGATCCATTTCTGTGGTTATTGAGGGTTTTTTTCTTAATCCAGCCTTCTGCTGAAGGTCAACCAGTCCTGGCCTCAATGTTTCTTGAGGATGGGACTCTGGAGACTTGTTGATCAGCCACCCTCTTATAGCAACATCTTGAATCAAGCTTTTCCCAACTGGTGCCTTTCCCATCACTCCAGTGAGCATGGTGCATGGCCACACTGGCTACTATTAATGGGTATTGCAGTCAAATACTCTGAGAGGGCACTGGGGGGGTTGTCTGTCTTAGATCTTGGTTCCTGTCTCGCATGGAAAGACCTGCACCCAGGTAACGCAGCACGCTGCACATGCATAATATCCTCTGCTAGTAGGCCTACAAAGCCCAGCAACTGCTAGTAGGCCTACAAAGCCTGGTTTTGTACATATATAAGCTAAGTATGTATTAGTAGATTACATGGAACAGCCCTTTTGCACGGTTCTAGCTACATTTTAAAGAACTTTGTCCCACTCTCCACTATCATCAACCTAAATTCCAATATAGGGAGAGTCAACTACTGTATATCTGTAAATCTCGCAATTGCAGTTGCTGTGATTGTGAGTGTAAGCTGCTATTTGTGATATGAAGGGTTGTATGTAATGATCTGGCAAGCTGTAATGGTGGCTGCATGTCTAACATGCATGTACAAATAGCATACCTGATTGATTTCATGAGTCAGCAAGAACAAAACAAAACACAGCAACTTCATAAGCATTATAAACATGTTTGTTCCGTTCTACTTAGATATTTTCTCACTGTGTGGTATGGCAGGCTTCCTTCTTTCAATGATATAAAAGTTGGCTGATTTTTAAAACAGCAAATATTAGATAGATTCCTGGGAATTTGTGAATAAAAGTATGTACCTTCAAGTTGCTTGTTGACTTACGACAACCCTATGAATTTCACAGGGTTTTCATAGGCAAGGAATACTGAGGTGATTTGCCATTGCCTTCCTCTGAAATATAGCCTACAGCACCTGGTATTCCCTGGCAGTCTCTCTTCCAGGTATTAACCTAGCCTGACCCTACTTACCAGTAGCTTCCAGGGTCAGATGGGATGTGGTGCCTTCAGTGTATTTAGGCAACTGAAAAGTAGCAGCCCTTAAAGCTGTGGTGGAAATGCAATACAGTGACCAGAATCCAAGGTAGCCCTGAGGTAGCCCTATTGAATTACCTGCTGAATGATGAATATTTACAATCTAGTAATTGATTCAATGGGTCTACTCTACCTGAGGCTAACCAGATTGTTTCCAGCCATTGTTTTGCATTCATTCTAGATCAGTAGGACTCAAGCCAGTGTCTGTCTTCTCCTAGTAAACATACCTGCCTTTCGAGAAAGATTTGGAAGAAGTTAGGGCTGTAGGAGTTGAAAAAATGTGCATGTGTGTGTGGCAGAGAGAAAGAATGAGAGAGAGAGAGTTTCACTAAGCAGAAAAGTAGTTTTGGATTTCCTCAGGAGCTTTTCATGATATATTAACTGAGAGTGACAGTAACTTGTTCCTGTTTTTGCAGGTGTCTCATTTCCCTGAAGCCTATAGAGAGGCGCTGCACACCTACAAGATAAGCGAGCAAGATACAGATGTAAGAGCACCTCTCCCTGGCTGTCATCTGTCTGCCCACTCCATCTCCCTTCCTGCTGCCACCTCTCCATCCTCCATCTCTTGGAGGTTATGCCTTTTTCCCATTTCTCTATCATTAGATGAGCATCTTATCTGCTGCTAGTTGGAGGCCTCAAGTGTCATTGATAACCATCGATCACCAGTCCTGTGCTGTCTCTTTTCCTGTCGCATCTTTTCCTCGTATTCAGTGTGTGTGCTTTCAAGCTGGTGTAATTGCTTGTGAGTTTTCCCTGCTTGCACTGTGGAGTTTCAAGAGCTCACACTGGCCTCCTAGCCTGGGAGGGTACAGTTTGCCATCTATCAAAGCAGAGTAATGTTTTGTCCTGTCTTCTTATGGACCTCTACACTGTGCATCTTGTGCTTCATGTTTCTTTTCTCTCTTTACTTCATGAC